CGCGGTATACTGAGCTTAGGGTAACGGGAGGACGCTAGTTTGTGTCCTCCCGTTACCCTAAGGAGAACTATGGGGAAAAACACTGACCCCATAGTTCTCCTTTAAAGTAGAACAGAAGCTTGTAACATTGTTATACAATATTGAATTGCATACAGAGTTGTGGTTTCAGTAGTACAGAATAGACACAAAAATTCTGAGATATATTTTCCTTTCAGGACGACTATATGTAATGTAATATTGCATTTTGCCCACTAAGTAACAAGTCACTGAGATGAGTTATTCACTTGTGTGTATATAAAATAGCTGATTATAAAGATATAATTATGGAAAAGATCACCTTAAAAATCAAAGGTACATCTTTTTTGAAACATGATACTGGTGCTGTTATATTTCAATGTGTCAAAAATAATTTATCGATGTAGATTTGCAAACCCAATAACTGCCCATGAAGGTGAAAAATAGCAAGAAGCATAAATGGCCATACTGTCTGGACTATTTCTGATGCTGTCCATTCTGTGCACTTTCTTGATCAGTCACGCACACATTAGGGACAGTTTCGATAGAAGTCAATTAACTTACCAGTTTCCTTTGGGGCTGTTGGAGGAAATACATGCAAAGAGGGATTATGTACATGTTCTGTAAGGATAGTATATCTGTTGGGAGGAGATCTCAGGGCTCAGATACATAGCTACATATACTACCTCTTTCAAACTTGTGGGTTTTCTATCTCTGTCTAAAAATGAATGTATCAATGGTACAGTACAAGATAAATGATCAAGCCCATAACCTAGCAAAGCCATTACATAACAGCTGTGTAGGAAACGTCACATATGTTATTGTAGAAATACAGGAGGATAAAGAAATCAGCTGAAGAACATGTGCAGTGGGGTTAATCAAGACTCAGGAGACATAAGTGCTGAACACAAGCATGGTTTTACCTATTGTGCTGTGATAATCAGAATCATATATACTCCTCTCTTTTTAAGGACAACACGTCAGTGGAGTAAGATGTGCTCCACAGCCAGACTGTAAAATCAATTGGTTCTACGCTAAGGACTTACTGTTCATGCAGCTCAATATTTTTGCAGCTGTCCATGCTGAAACCATCTGTCTTTTTGCAGCTCTAGCAAACTTCATGACCCTGATGTATTTTGTACCTAAATAAAGCTGTGCAGCTTTTTAAAAATAGCTAAGATCTAATTAATAGTTGGACAAAACAGCTATGCATCGGGCAGATGTGGGCTGCATAGCTATCAATAACTAAGTCCCTCCTCACTCCTGCAATGTCACACCTGCACTGCATTGCCTCTATTGTTCCCACAACAAACTCCAAGCTGATACCTTTCAACATTCTGATTATAGAAAGTGGGATGCCTTTTAGCACAAAGTATACTGCAGAGGTCACACTCCTGCCATGCCCCCAGTTATGCAGAGTAAAAAAAATCAGTATCCAAAAAAAAGATTTTTCACCACTACTGTATGAAAAAAAACCCAGAAAAAACAAACAAGATCATTTAAAGGGTTAAATGAAAGGTTTAGTGTAGTAAAACATACCAGGTAGTTAAAGAGTTCAGCTGTGTTCTTTACAGAGGGCTATACATCAGACCAAAAAAGGGACAACTGAAGAGGAAAGAGGGACAGAAGGATTTTGTTACAAAAAACAGGCACAGTACATCCAAATGGGGAACAGTCCAAGATATGTTTTATAAGTTAGGTGAATAAATGGTTGTATTGCTTTGGTTACTGGTGTGACAGTAATGAGGTCTGGCCACTCCAAAACTATTTAGGAAACTCCGTTGTTCCCTCAGTTTTTAAAATTTGCCACTTCTGGACATGATTAAACCAGACTACAGATTAAAGATATTTGTTTTTTTACAGAATCTTTAAAGGAGAACTATGGGGTCACTGTTTTTCCCCATAGTTATCCTCAGGGTCATGGGAGGACATAAACTAGCATCCTCCCGTGACCCAAAGCTCAGTGTACCGTGAGCTACAGCTCACGGTATACTGAGACCGCTGCAGCCAGGAAGGATACCGACATTACTGTCGAGATCCACCCAGCAGCGTGATTGACAGCTGGCTCTGCCTAGCTGTACCCGCCCCCTCCCCCGTACATTCCTCCAGTCAGCGCTGGAGGATCGGAGCGGGGAATTCCTGCAGGGAGCCGTGAGTCACAGTCACGGCTCTCTGCAGGGACAGGATCGAGAAGTGAGCGAGTGACGGTATTTGTTCGCTCACTTCCCGAGCCGACGTGCGACAGTTTCATTGTCACACGTCGCCTCGAACTATGAGGTTGAGTGAAAATTACTCACCTCATAGTTCTCCTTTAAGGAATTGCCAGAGCACCAGAGATCTGTGTGACAGGCCTGTTTTATAGTTTTATGGCTAACCTCCTAATGAGGAATCATACAGTATAGCACTGAGTATTCAGAACACTAATAAGTTATCAACTATGTGTATCCAAGAAGAATACACATAGATGCCTGGACTCATATGACATGTGAATAACCCTAGTTTCCAAACTTCACCCGGAATTCATAACTTTTGACCTGGGGGAGCTACATTAATTAGAAATACTGTTTATATATAGATGTATCAAGAAACAATGGTCACATACATACCATTCACCCCTGACTTAGGAGGTACAGAGGGCCAAAGACACACATTACCCCTTCCGAGTGAGCCATACATCTTAGGTATGCCACATCTGGTATGTATAAAAAGCTAATTTCATTACATACAATAATCTATGTGTTATCAGATGGTAGCACGTGAGTGAAAGTTCAAAAGGGAACTCAATTATAAGGGACCAGTGGACTTAAAAAATGTGGCTGGGGTGCATTATTTTGACACTTACGACAAGATTTACAATACTCCTCAACTGCTTTGTAAATAATGGGCCAGAAAACCGCTGCTCAATCCTTTCTTTTGTTTTCTCAAACACTAAATGATCCCCCAACACATGACAATGGACCAGATCTAGCACCATCCTTGTGTGAGACTGGTGAGCAACTACCTGCTCCGCAACTTACTCCCACCTCTTCTTTACATGACATATAAATTCATGGTATACTGCAACATGGGGGTATACTAGGGTAACTTTTAGTTCCTGAGGTTCCCTTTTGTAATCTTTACATGGCCTTGCGCAACCTGTATATCTGTTATTGTTGATATCGGTTACATTTCTTCAGACTCCCAAGCCATGATTGCTAGTGGAAAGTTGTCAGGTACCTCTGATGCAGAGATATCAACATCCCCCTGAACTTCAGGCAAAATACTGACATCATTCATTTCATAACTGATTACTTGTTTTTCTCCCTTTAGCCCCCAATACAGAGCAAAATAACAACCCAGTATTACACTCTGTGCTATATTCTTAACCACACCCAAGACATGCTTTGCAGTTCCACTAGGTACCTCCACTGAGATCACCAAGTACGGTAGTCTTTGGCATTGCCATGTATACAGAGTACTCCCATTAAGTCTGTGCCAAGTTTGACATTGTCCATCAGACTGGCATGAACCAATTTAACGAGGCTTCCAGCATGTAATAGTGCCTCCACCAGATGTCCTCCTATTGTAACAGGATATATCTGCCCTCAGTCTAAGTTCTTGTGTGTGCTGCAGGAACACGCTTGGCAAAGAGTGACTTAAGCCTTCCCAGGTCACATTTCATAGGCTCATGTAATATGGCAAAATTGGCAGCCACATATCACAGTCCTTGGCACCACCAGCACCTAACTTGTTCTCCACCTGACCGGCAGGCACCTGTAAGCAGGCACAAACTGCCCACAGCTCAGAGAAAGATCTGGTTTCGTTGCCCGAGATCGCGCTTGCTGAGGACCACGGCAGCTGCATCTGTGATTGCCTTCTCCTCCTCCGGCTCCCTGACACCGTGCTGCCCGCCTGCAGACCCCTGTTGAGACACCATAGACCAGACAGCCCTAAGAGTCGCACAGTCCACCTGAGTGTCGCACAGCCCACCTGAGTGTCGCAGGCTGTGCGACGCTCAGGTGGGCTGTGCGACGCTCAGGTGGTCTGAGCGTTACACAGCCCTCATGAGGGTCGCACAGTGCACCTGAGTGTCGCACAGCCCTCTAGAGCATCGCACAGCCCTCCTGAGCGTCGCAAAGCCCACCTGAGAGTCATAAGCCCACCTGAGTGTCGCACAGCCCATCTGAGTGTCGCACAGCCCATCTGAGTGTCGCACAGCCCTCCTGAGTGTCGCACAGCCCTCCTGAGCGTTACACAGCCCTCCTGAGCGTTACACAGCCAGTAGACTCCACATAGCCCACCATAGACCCCGCATAGCCCACTCCTGAGCCTTACACAGCCCCCCTGAGCGTTACACAGCCCTCCTGAGCGTTACACAGCCTTCCTGAGCATTACACAGCCCTCCTGAGTGTCGTACAGCCCATCTGAGTGTCGCACAGCCCTCCTGAGTGTCGCACAGCCCTCCTGAGCGTTGCACAGCCCTCCTGAGCGTTGCACAACCCTTCTGAGCATTACACAGCCCTCATGAGGGTCGCACAGCCCACCTGAGCGTTACACAGCCCTCATGAGGGTCGCACATATCACAGTCAGGACTATTTTCAGTGGGGTGCCAGTAGCCCCTATCTTAATTTTGGTTGCCCCGTCTGCCTGACATCTTGTGTCTGGGTTTGAGTGGCCATGAAACCTGGACACTGTATTCAAACCCCGGACTGTCCGGGTGAATCCCGGACAGGTGGCAACCCTAATACAATATCCAGCTTAAAAAAAATCTAGAGGTAAATATATTTACATATATTTATAGATACATATATGCAGTATATACACACTTTACAGTTGCCATTCATGTATTTGAATAGGGCAGCTAGTTCTTTATTAATATTTGTCTCTGTAGTATCTGTATTTGCAAACCTTCACAACAAATCAACGTCTTGTACAGCAAACTCGTCCCAGAATGCTAACGCTTACTGTAGATGTTTGTCCCGTACGGTTTTCCGTCCATGTGACGTCAGTGACGTAAGCGTGGAAGCCGGAAGTGGGAGATCCGCGCTGTGTGGAGCTCGGTGTGTTGCTTGTTGTGAAGTGTGTGGAATCACGAGGGGCCTGGAAGGAGAAAGTAGGCAACCGGGGTCCGCGGACAGGCTTTATCGGTGGGAAGATCACTCAGCGAAGGATACGGTGGGAGGAGAGCCATGAAGAGCAGTGTGGCCGAAGTCAGAGTGAGTTGTATAGCAGTCAGTGTTCATCTGATCGTTACAACGACAGCTCACACTACAGGGTACTATTAGGGGAACCAAGCGCCTCATTAATGATACGTTTCTGTGGCCGTAGTGTGTTATGTCACATCAAATCCATTGACATAACTGTAAAGTGTTAAACATTCAAATCTCCTGCTAATGGACATTTGTAATGAAAGCTTTTTCAAAAACGAGCACTTGCTACACTCAGTGGTTCCCCCGCAACCCCCTACGGCCTGTACTGTGACCTTTAGGTACGATGTGGTGTTTGGGGGGAGGAACCAATGGGTGGGGGACGAAACCAGGTGACCGACACTCCCGGAAATATTCGTTTTGGAAGAAACTTCAGTATAGCAATTCTCATTAGTGGAAAGGCTGGTGTTTTTTTGCTTCTTTGTAGGGAAACAATTTCCTGGAACTTTTACTTGAGCAGCAGAGTCACTTTAAAAGCATAGTCCATCTTTGGGGGAAAAAATAAAATAAACGCACAAACACTGCTAAAGATCTCATTCACACGTGGCGTGCACGCCCATAAACAAGGGGGAGATCGCGGAAGGAACAGGTGCTGCGTGTGATTGTGCACAGCAGCCTGTACTTTCCTATGGGGGAGTCGGCTGTACACTGTCATCTTGTGGGTACGGGTGTCCATACTTGGACCCAGAAAGCATGCACATGAGGCCTTAAAGACATAATGTTTGTGTTCAGGCCTGCAGAGCATTACAACCACTGCAGGTGCAATGCTCAGGCTTCAGCAGACTTTCCTTCAATTATTGGGCTGGAGAAAGTAATGTACTACAAGGGTGGTGACGTCATTAACCAGTTGACATCCGCTGTGTTAAACCCCCTTCCCATCCAGGCCATTTTTCAGTATTCAGCGCTGCGGTACTTTGACTGACATTTATTCCGTCATGCAGCGCTGTACTGAAATGAATTTTATACCCTTTTTTGGGGACAGATAGAGCTTTCTTTTGGTGGTATTTATTCACCACTGGGGTTTTTATTTTTTTACTATATTAAGGAAAAATTACCGAAATAAAAAAAAAACAGTTTCCCCTATATTAAATGATATATTATTACTGTTATTTTATATAGGATTGCACGTTCACATCAGCCCCTACCCTCAGGGACTCAACCTCCATGAGGAGGTTACAATCTAAGATCCCTACATCACATGCACACAGGACCAATGGAAAGTGCTGATTGTCCCAGTGCTATGACATGCTCCTTCATACCTAGAAGCACTTTGTGTTTCTTTTGGCTCCTGTCACTGAACAAAGCCGGATGGCGTTAAAGAAGAACTCTGGGCAAAACGTATATTAACCCTTGCAGTGGGGCCACCACCACACTGTAAGGGTTAGGTGCTCGTTTTCGTCTAGGTGCTAAAATGAAAAAGTGATGCTTTCCCGATCCTCGGAGCTGCTTTCTCTTACACCAGTCCTTCCAGCCTTGCTCCCCTGCTGCTGCAGCAGTCTAAGGATCCTTAAGTCATCATATCCAATACACTGTGTATTGGATGTGAGGACACCAAGGGACATACTGCCACTTGAGGGAGCGCTGTGACAACTGGCCAGCTCCGAGGTTCAGGTGAGTATCACTTTTTATTTTAGCACCTAGACAAAAACAAATAGTTAAAGGATTAATACAAGTTTTGCCCAGAGTTCTCTTTTAAAGGCAACCTGTTGCTTTGCCCTAAGAATGTCATTGCATGTTTTCATGCATTTATTTTGATGGAAGATGCATCAATGAAAAAACGGATATGTCTTCTAGAGAGATGCTAAATCACTTTGGGGACTGAAAGAGTCATTGTGGTACGGCACGTCAGTAATATACTTTCTTACTAAATGTACCCACACATATTATATATTGTTTTTTAGAGGACAGATAGGTCTATATAATTATATCACATGTGTGTACCTAACCCCTCACTTAGTTTGAATAAAATAAAAAAAATGAGGAAAAAAACTAGAAGAAAACACTTTTTTCACAAGTTTTCATTATTATTATTTTTTTTTAGAATTTTTTTATATTAATTATAGTATAAAAAATATATTTATATATAATTTATATTTTCCTAATTTTGTTTTACACTTTATTTTAATTTTTTTACACTTTGTAAAAAAAATAAAAATAAAATAAAAAAACTTTTTTTTTTCTTGTCAGTTTATATCAAGCAATCACTATGACAGCTTGATAAATTAACTTTTTTATTTTATATTTGGCTATTAGGCTGATCCAAACTTAGGAACAGCTAATAATAACCTTAGAGACTGATCCTGACTTTAGTCAGATTCAGATCTCACTAAAAGCTCTTTCATCGCGCCTAGACGATCAGAAATGATACATTTCACTCAAAAGAGATACATTGTATCTTTTGAGTGAAATGTATCTAAACATCGGGCTCTCGAGCTGTCAAAACAAATAGCAGAGAGGTGAGGTGAGTCACTGCTGCCTCTCTGCTATTTTGAGCTGTCAAATACCGGATCGCAAATTGCGGTCCACTATTTGCATGTAACGGCTTCATTCTTTCATTAATGAAAGGAAGAAGCTTTTACAAAAAGCCTAATTATTTCATTAATTAATGCCTCAATACTGAGACATTAATGAATGACTGTTAAATGCTGAGAATCAGCAGATACCAGCATTACAAAGCCTGATATAACTCGTCACGTACAGTGTACGTGGCCAGTCATATAGGCACAAAGTGACAAGACGTACACTGTACGTCTCCCGTCACGAAGGGGTTAAAGAGAGGTGAAAAATGGCAACATGGTAGGTAAAAGAAATTTTTGCCCAGTGATGATCTTTAGGCTGTCATGTAAATCTACTTGGAGTACACTAGCTGTTGCTTCCTTCGTTTTCTAAATTTGTGCGGCAAACTGCACTGATATGCATCATCTCATCCAACCCTTTCCAGAACCTGTGTTCTAACACATAGTCACTCATACACCTGGCAGTGAGGGAGTTTCTGCAGCTAGACAAGACTTCCCTGGCTGCTGTCAGGAGTATGCAGTACATGAGCAGCACAGATTACAATAATGAAAAGAGAACTATGGGGGTCAGTGTTTTTCCCCATAGTTCTCTTTAGGGTCATGGGAGGACATATACTAGTGTCTTCCCGTGACCCAAAGCTCATTATATAGCGAGCTACAGCTCACGGTATACTGAGACCGCCGTAGCTGGGACGGATGCCGACAATGCTGTTGGGATCCACCCAGCTACTCGAGTGACAGCTGGCTCTGCCTATCCGCCCCCCTCCGTTCCTCCAGTCAGTGCTGGAAGATTGGAATGGGGAGCGGTGACTTACAGTCACCGCTCTCTACAGGGAGATGATTGGGAAGTGAGCAAGCAACGGTATGTGTTTGCTCACTTCCAGATCTATTGAGCCGACGTGTGACAGTTTCATTGTCACACGTCGGCTCGAACTATGAGGATGGGTGATTTTCACTCACCTCATAGTTCTCCTTTTTAAGCAAGCCACAGCTATTCTACTGTGAGCAGCTTAGTTCTCACATGCATGGGACCTTAAAAGAAGTGTCAGACATCATTGTTACTTGGTTTTCTCAGAGCACTGTACTGTTTCTCTGGAGAACTCATCCTAGTCATATGTCTGACCTTAACATTTCTTGCAGTTTCACATTTGTTTTTTGTATGTTTTTTTTAATTCAAGTGCAAGGGTACCTTCTACCTTTTTTATGAGCATTAATAGAAATTTGGGGGCTGCTATTGCTTGCTGGTTTTTGAAGGTTCCAGCTCCACGCTCACCTTCCTTCATCCTTTGAGTCACTGGTTTGCTACTAGTTAATGGTGCTCTACAGACTGTAACAGAATCTCTGCATCTTTTCTCGATCATAGGCAGCCTGAGGACAGTCATAGTAAATTGTATATCATGTATGCAATCATTATTTCCTTTCTCTCTGTATTTGCTATTAAATATATCTTGTGGTTTTGCAAAGTGTTCCTCCTTTTTGTATATAATAGATGTAACTATCCAACTGATCTAGATGTCTTTAATGAACATTTCAGAGTTTCTCCAGTTATGACAAGCATGACTCCTACCGCTCTCGCCGAAGAAGTTCCTCCTCTCCAGAGGACAGGTATATAGTATTAGTTATTCTCTTTTGGTCTGTATATTTATCACCCCACATGATCAGGTATAATCATTTTTTAGGGAGCAGATACAAGAGCTTCTGCCATATGTTCAGTAAAGGCTTTTGTAGTATTTCATGCCTTCCTCTTCTAATTAAGTTGTGCTACAGGGTGGCTTTCAGCTCTCAGTGAGGTGACATGACTGCAGTTGTTTAGATAGGTTGCTTAGGGCCTCTGTTTAAAATTTTAAAACTCATTAATGTTCCATTTTATATGCTACTTTTCCTGCCATGGTGCTGTTTATTTACAAAACTATGTGGCAGCTAATGTTGTGCCTGCAAGCGTACCTCCTGTTGTTTTACCTTTTGTCATATCTATTAGCTAACCTGTTTGCTTTGGCTGTGCCCTCACTGCAGGAACAGAGTGGTAGGGAAGCACCAGGAAAGTGAGCATGTGCATATGTGAATATGGGAAGGGCGGCATATATGTGAACCTGTTGCTTTGCCTTTATGGGCATTTATTTTTGCTATGAATCTTAAAAGAGAACTATGGGGTTAGGGCTTTTCCCCATAGTTCTCCTTAGAGTAACGGGAGGGCACAAACTAGAGTACTCCCGTCACCCTAAGCTCAGTATACCGCGAGCTACAGCTCGTGATATACTGAGACGCTGAAGCGGATCCCGACAATTATGGCTGGATCCGCCCAGCTGCGTGAGTGACAGCTGGCTCTGCCTATCTAGAGGCAGAGCCAGCTGTACCTGCCCCGTCCGTTCCGCCGGTCAGTGCTGGAGGATCGGAGTGGAGAGGGGGGAATCCAGCCCCTCCCCTGTCATGGCAGAGAGCCGTTACATGATCGAGAAGTGAGTGAACGCCAGTATGTGTTAGCTCACTTCCCGATCTACTGAGCCGACCTGTGACAGTCTCATTGTCACAAGTCGGCTAGAACTATGAGGTGAATGAAAAGTACTCACCTCATAGTTATTATTATTATTATTGCATAGTATTTATATAGCGCCAACAGTTTGCGCAGCGCTTTATAATGTAATTAAGACATTACAATTACAATACAATTCAAGACAGGATGGTAAGGAGGGCCCTGCCCCTGAGGGCTTACAATCTGAAAGAGGAGGGGGAAATGATACATGAGGAGGTAACTGTGTGGGGATGAATTGTTTGAGAATGTGATGGTTCAGTGGTTAGGTTGAGGTGGGTTAGGCTTCCCTGAAGAGAAGAGTCTCCAGGGAATGCCTAAAGACAGTCAGGGTGGGAGATAGACTTAGTTCTCCTTTAAAAACTACAGCTGGTATTTCTGATTATGCCTACTGCACTGATCTTCTCCCTTGGAGGGCTGGAGGTTGTGTCATCGCTAAGATGATATCCTATCAACAACGTGTTCCTGGTTTTCAGGGTTCCTCTAAGTCCCCACATTTTTCTTGATCTTCCCCTTCCCTTTATTACTCGCGGTTCTAGCTTCTCTGCTCTCTGCATTATCAGGAGGTTGATTGATGTATCTTGCTACGAACAGAGAGCTGCTGTAGTCCCTCGCAGAAGTAGTCCTAGGTGCATTTAGGGAAGAACTGCAGATAATGTTGTTCTTACTTTAGCTAAGGGGCCCTAGTACACTGAACAGGTCATTAATTTTGTTTGCTGCCAGGAACTTCTCTATAAACACATATCCCAATAGATTATTTATATAAGATTTCCAATCAAGCTCGATAGGTTTTTTTTAAATGTCAAAGTGATAAGATGTTGCTTTTCAAGCTTATTGTGAATTCTGGAGATATAGTGTAATGTGACAGTTGAAAATGAATGTTTGTAGCACGGTGGTTAGATCTTTGTGATACAGCTGTCAGATCTTAAGAAGAATGAATGTACAGGGCATGCAATGCAGTATTTTCATTAAATTCTAACATCTCTTGCAGGTATCGAGAGAGAGATCGGTCACTATCTCCATATGACAAAAGTTACTCTGATCGCAACAGAGGATACTCTGATCATGAGCAGTATGATGACGATCGGCCAAGAAATGGGCGATATGACCGGTCAGAGAATACAAGGCAAGTGTTCCGTACAGTTTTTGTAAAGATTTCTAGTTTCCCTGATAGTGGGTTGGCTTAGGTGTTATGTGGTGTGCAGGGAAATATAATGGCTATAACTAGTGGTGTGTGTGGGCTTGGTGCTGCGTTCGCCCATGCGAGTCCAAAACTGTCAGTGATACACCCCCCTCCTGTCCCAGTCAGTTGTGGCCGGTTAATTCCCTGCCCCTTTGTTACTTGTAGCTGTGGGATGGGGAATGCACATCACTAGCTGTAACAAATATTTTTGGAGTCAGTGTGTGGATATCAAACTTAAGCATCAAGATAAAAATGTATGCAAACTGTCTGCATATGGTCAGCTCCATTATTTCATTCTTTTTTTTTTTATTATCTGCACTTGGAAGTTATTTAAATGGCTAAAGAAAGTAACGTTCCTTAAAGGAGAACTATAGGTTGAGTGCAAATCGCTCATCCTCATAGTTCGAGCCGACGTGTGACAATGAAACGCACATCGGCTCAATAGATCGGAAAGTGAGCGAACACATACCGTCGCTCACTCACTTCTCAGTCATCTCCCTGCAGAGAGTCACCGCTCCTCGTAGTAATTCCCCCCTCTCACTGCTCCGATCGTCCAGCGCTGACTGGCGGAACGGACGGGGCCGGGTACTGTTGGCTCTGCCTCTCGATCAGGGGTCTCAAACCTCCGGCTGTGGTGGAACTACAAATCCCATGAGGCATTGCAAGATTCTCACAGCCACAGACATGACTCCCGAAGAGAGCTGCATCATGGGATTTGTAGTTTCACCACAGCTGGAGGGCCAGAGGTTTGAGACCCCTGCTCTACATAGGCAGAGCCTGCTGTCATTCACGCAGCTGGGTGGATCTCGACAGCATTATTGGGATCCGATAATTATCGGGATCCATCGCGGCGGCGGTCTCAGTATACCGCGAGCTTTGGGTCACGGGAGGACGCTAGTATATGTCACATGAGGCATTGCAAGATTCTCACAGCCACAGACATGACTCCCGAAGAGAGCTGCATCATGGGATTTGTAGTTTCACCACAGCTGGAGGGCCAGAGGTTTGAGACCCCTGCTCTACATAGGCAGAGCCTGCTGTCATTCACGCAGCTGGGTGGATCTCGACAGCATTATTGGGATCCGATAATTATCGGGATCCATCGCGGCGGCGGTCTCAGTATACCGCGAGCTTTGGGTCACGGGAGGACGCTAGTATATGTCCTCCCGTGACCCTTAAGAGAACTATGGGGAAAACGCTTACCCCATAGTTCTCTTTTAAAGATTTTCCATATTATTGTTTCTCTGGTTTAGTTTTTAATACTGTTTTTATATCTGTTTTGTGGCAGGTTGAAGGAAAGGGACAAAGAGTATGACAGATCGAGGAAAGATCTGGAGCAGGACCCCGAACGAGACAGATCAAGAAGAGATAGAAGTAGGGACTACGAACGAGACAGATCAAGAAGAGATGTAGATAAGGATTATGACCGAGACAGAGCGAGGAGAGATCCTGACAGAGACTCTGATAGAGACAGATCAAGACGAGAACCAGATAGGGAGTGGGAGCGAGACCGTTCAAGAAGAGGCCCAGAAGGAGACTCTGAGCGAAGACGGAACAATAGATCCTCTCCACCAGGTGGAAATAGTGAACAGAGATCAGAAGATCCAAATTCAGCAGAGCCTCCAGTAAAGAAGAAGAAAGAGGACTTGGATCCCATTCTTACCCGGACTGGAGGAGCTTATATTCCACCTGCCAAGCTGCGTATGATGCAAGAGCAAATAACTGATAAGAGCAGGTAAGTGTCTCTTTTCAGTGAATCTGTTTTCCCCACAAGAAATTTGTAAAAAATAACTGTTTGTGGGGCATGGTGTGACTGCATATGACTCTGCTTTCAATATCTGAATGTACAATCCAATGTTGTTGTTTTGGATGGAGGAAGATGAAAGTTTCTAAGACTGCTGTTGCAGTTGGGAATTGAAGCAGCCTAAATCCAAGCATCTGAAGTATGTAAATCCAAGAACAGATTTCTATTTTCACTAGGTGGTTCTGTGAGTAACACAATTCTTGTTGTAGGGGTGACAGTGCTCACTCATTGTACTGTATGGAAGCGCAGCGTTGTCACTCCAGAATAGGACTCAAGACAACCCCTTCTCTTCTCCGTAACATAGATGGGAGGTCTATTGTAGTCCTCAAAGGTAGCTGGAAACCGTGCCATCTGATATGTCAGAAGAGGCAATTTGAATTTTGTGTACTATTTCTGTGGGCCTCCAGCCAAACCTTCTTGGGGAAGGATCACAACCTAAATTTTTCTTCTCTCAGAGTCCCAGTTGAGCGGATTTTACGCCTTTTCCTGTGCCAGAGATTTCTGTCACGGAATACATTTTACAGCAAATTGTTTTTAGTGACATAAGTCACATTCTTTTCCTTGGCCTTAAAAGCAATTAGACCCCATTCACAATAGCAGTAAGAAGATGTCCATGTCAGGCAGAGCCGTAGCTAGCCCCTTATGCGCCTGAGGCAAGAAAAAAAACTGACGTCACCCAGCACTGCGCACGCTCGGTATTATGTGGTGTCATGCGCCCGGCCTCCAGGATGTGTTATTTTTTTTTTTACATTTACATTTTTTTCACCGATATGTACCGATCCGTCGTTGCTCGGCCACGCACAGAGGGGTGGCACTGACTGCAGCTTTTCCTCTGGATCCCCACTGCTCTCCCCCATCTGTATGCAGCGGGGATCCGAGGAGAAGTGAGGCGCTGAAGCCGGCGGAGGAGGGAGTCACTGACGCAGCAACATGGCCGAGCGGCGAGCAGAGAGAGAGCCGCCGCCTGTCCGATCGTGGTCGAGCGTCTCTCTCTCCTCACCGCGACTTCTCCTCCGCCCCCCTCGCCGACTTCAGCACTTCACTTCTCCTGGGATCCCCGCAGCATATGGGGGAGAGCAGCGGGGATCTAGAGGAGAAGCTGCAGGCTGTGCCGCCCCACTTCTCCCTGCTGGCTGTGCCCCCCCACACCTGTGCCCGAGGTTCTGGTGATATCTTGAATTTCGCATCACACCTCTCTAGGACAAGCATAGGGGTTGAATCTCCCCAGTGGTGAAAAAGACGGCAACAACAACCCCAGGGTGTTTAAATCCTTCTCTGCTCTGTCCAAAACAGACATAAAGAAAAAAGGGAAAATCTTGGGGATTCAGACACTGGTAAAAACCTGATATAGCTTCTAACCTTTTCCCATTCTATTAAAAATATGGCTGTAATTCCACTTTAATCTGACTTTAGTCAATTGAGTAGCGTGGGTATTTTGATGGGTTTTACCTGGTGGCTGAGACACCCTAGGCATTAGATAGCAGTGGTGTGTTACCTTTACTTGGCACCATTGTTTTTGGTAATCGCTTGAGTAAATAAAAACATTTCTGTTTGCGCCAGGCCCCCCCCCCGTGTGCTGGGGCTGTTGTGC